ATAATAAATAAAACAACAATACTCACAACTCAGTCAATTTTACAAGTATTGAGCTAAAATTTGGTTTGGTAGTAGCTGAGAGTCACTCACAACTCTTACTTTGAGTACAAACAGTGTGTTTTATAAGCTGCTGAGTTCAGTATTAAACGATTTTCTTGGTTTAGTACAGCAGCATAAAAATGACAAAGTTTGATGTGATTTTCAAAAGAAAACACTTAAGAAAAATAAATAACCCAGGTCACTGTAACACTGTAAGGTCGCAGTTTTTCTGCCTGTTTACATAAATGAATAAAAAGACTTTTCTTTGCACTTTTCTCATGACCTGCTCATGTTCCCAGTTATTATTTTTTATTATCTGAAACATAAGCTGCCACTAGGAAGCGCTTATAATCTGCTGATCAATCAGATCAGGGTGGAGCATTTAGTCTTCATAAAGTTTTTATTTACTTTTTATTTTGCTTCACTGGGTCTTTTCTGCTCAAAAATGTGAAAAAAACCACAGCTTTAACATGCTCCAAATCTTATGGGGGAAGATAAAAAAAGGTTATTTGAGTACTAATAGTGGCTAAATGTTCAAATCAAAACTATTATTTCACTTTAAAATGGACAAAGGATAATTGATTATAACTGTTAAAAACAAGGCTGTTCTTCAACTTTGGGTCTTTTAGGCAGGTTACATTCAGGCCTTTATTGTTGTGCTGTTTCCTTTTTTTCAGCATGTTTTTAAGTGAATTTTATTGTATTTTTAGCCTTTTTTAGTTTCCTTATATTTTTTGTGTTTTTCCTGCTTGCTTTAAATTACCTTGTAAAGCTCTTTGGGTCAACAAATATTGACCCAAAGAGTTCAACAAATGTAAAATGTTCTATAGAAATAAATTAGATTTCCCKCCCCTTCAATCACTTTCTAAGCAACAAAAGAGAGCAATTATAATCATTCATAAAGTGGAATTTTAGAAGCACACAAACGACAAGCTTTTTTTAAAGTCAAATATATTGAAACTTTGTTTAAATTCAAAACTGCACAATTTGTGTTTCGAGCAAGTAAACTTCTAGGAAAATGTTCAAAACATGTTTTATGACAGGGTGGAGGGCTCTAAATTAGGAGGAGAGTTAAAAGTTACCAAACAAAGTGTCTGTACTACGAGGAAAAGCAAGTGTGGAGTGGATTTAAAGAACGAGTTAAATGTTGAACTGAAAAAATATAAACAAATACATTTAAAAAAAGAAAAAAATACATTTTGAGTTATTTTATGGTGGAAGAGGAATGTTGATGTTTGTAGAGATGTTGTGAAATAAGTCATTATTATTAAATTCTCCTGTAATTGACATAGCTATGTATATAAAGTCAAAAGGTTTAACAAAAACTAAAAATTTGAATTATATCGATCAATTGAAAAGTGAAAAAAGTTAGGAGTATAGGTTTTACTTCAACCTACTCTTATTCCTACAGATGACCTTGTAAGTTGGCCAAATTTAATTTAATTGTATATTCATGTAGGTGTATTTAAACATTTCTTTTTGCTGTTTTATGTCTGTTTTTGTTTGTTTTTTAGTAAAGATTTCTCCTCCATCTGTGTGTGTCCAACTCTCCTGGTCAGCGTGTAAACCAGTGGTTTCACATCCTGGTCCTCGATGGCCACCATCCTGCATGTTTAAGTTGTTTAGTTGTTCTGCAGAAGCCTCATTTAAACCAAGTTTGTCAAAGTAGAGAAACATCTAAAAAAAAAAACAACCCCAGGCAGGACAGTGACTCTTGAGGACCAGGATTGGACACAAGTCCATGTGATCGCGTGAGGACTCACCCAGAACCAGGTTTTCTCGTGCGATCTCCCAGGCCAGGTCATACGGCAGGTGGATGGGGTCCACGTAGATGTACTCGTGTCCGTCCTGACTCACGGACTCGATCACCTTCCACCTGATCTCATAGCGAGGTTTCTGATAACACGGTGAAAGAGCAGGAAGGAAAATCACACTAGAAATATTCTTTGAGTTGTGTTTGCATCTATTTGTGCWTTCAGCTTTGCCTTACCTTCCTCCACACAGCGATGAGGATGGTGATAGACATGATGATAATGACCACCAAGGCTAAGACAGCAGCCAACACTGCCACCTGGGAGAACAAAGCTGCAACACACAGAAAAAAAACAGATGTGATTCAGTCTTTTCTGGAAAAAAAATCTGTCTTGTCTATAAAATTAAAAGTAAAATCATTTATTTAAGAGGAAACTTGAGTACAAATCATGCAGCACATTGTACATAAATAAAAAAAAAAACAAACAAATGGACCATTTTTCACYACACCTACTGCTGGACACCAGCTTGACGTCTCTTCTGCTGACGTGTCCAGCCTGGTTGACGGTCTCACAGCGGACTGTGACGTGTTGAGGCTTGTGGAAGATCACCTGGCTGCGCACCTGGCTGATTTTACGCGTGTTGTTGTACGTCACGTTGGTCTGGATGCTCAGCTCCCCCGGCTGCGGAACCAGCGGCTGCCACACGGCCGACTGGTTGCTGCACCTGCAGCAGGAGAAAACCCAGGACAGCTGCAGCGAAGGAGCAACACAGTCAAAGCAGATCGCTCCTCATTAAGGAGTGCAATGGATCCGTGTGTGCGGTCAGCCCTCTAGTGTTTCCTGTGTGACACTTCAGTGAGGATCAGAGAAGTTTGGGGACGTACTTGAGCATGCTGTCACAGCTGTACCACTGGATGGACGGGGCTGGAAACCCCTCGGCTACGCAGGTCACCAAGTGTCTCTTCCCAGGGAGGTGGTGGTCAGTCAGGTCTTTAATCTGAGCAGGAACTGCACACAGGAGGGTTATAATTGTTGGAATCATATGAATTTTTCAAGAGTTACATGTGTATTTTTTTAATGCATACGCTGCTGAGAACATGTCCCCACCTTGGACTTCCAGGTCAAAGACAACTTGTTTTCTGTCGTCTCCATTGGAAATGAGGACAGAGTAGAGACCCTTCTGCTCCATCCTCACCCTCACCAAGGTGAGAATGGTGATGTACCTGAGCCATGTAAAAATAATTAATCATTCATTTTGATTTGATTAATCCACATATTTTTTTCTTTCTGTACAGAAAACCATGTAAGAATTTTGTTATAACATATTTCAGAGGCTTTGACAAAAAATTTCTTTGTCAATTTGAAAAGAAAGACTGAAGATTTAGGATTTTAAGACCAGTGAGAAATGCTGTGTTTTTATAGTTTAGAGAGACACACTTTTACAAAATCTTTAAATATAAGTTGACACATAATGATTTTAAGATGTGTTGTGCTAATCTCATAAAACAGATTAACTTTTTATTTATGTTTGGTGTTCAGATCTTTATAACGGTGTTTCTGTTGAAAAGTTGTGAACACTCAATATCTTACCTGTTGTAGATAGATTCTGTTGACCAATTTAAAGGGCCAATATAATGTGTTTCTCAGGCATATATTTAAATACTATACCATAATAAAGTACTATACTGTATATGTTACCTTTAACTGTTATTAAAATGCTGTTTTTATGTTTAAATAGAAATTAAACTTATCCTCTCATCACTTCCTCTTCTAAAAAAATTGGCCTCTGTCTCTTTAAGAACCTCCTTCTGCTTCTGTTCCGTCCCGTTCGGTGGGGGTGTGTGTGTG